CCTTAGTTTGTTCTCAGTTCTCAACAGTCTCTTATGCTTTAAAAAAATTAAAAATAAGGGGCACCTGGGTGGCTCAGTCAGTTAAGTGTCGGACTCTCAATTTTGGCTCAGGTCATGATCTCACAGTGTGTATGGGTTCAAGCCTCTCACTGGGCTGTGTGCTGAGAGCTCAGAGCCTGAAGCCTGCTGCGGATCCTGTCTCCCTCTCTATACCCCTCCCCTGCTCTCTCTCTTTCTCTCTCTCCCTCTCTCTCTCAAAAACAAACACTAACCAAAATAGCTGTTATGTTCATATATTTATTACACTGTTTTATGAATACAATAAATCAGAAACCTTCCTGCAGATTAAAATCTTGAGTATCACCTTTTGTCAGAACTGACCCTTTGTAAACTCACACATTTTGATTCCAAAGTCTAATCTAGTTTTTCTTCATAAGACCAAATTCTGCAATAAAGTCTTAAACATTTACTCAATTATTAAAATCTGTTCAACTGCCAAGATCAGAGCTCAGAGTCCTCTGTCTATGTTTGCTATGGAAGCAATGAGGGTTAGAAGTGAATAAAAGGGAAATGCAACCTTATGATGATGGTGGTGATGCCCAAAGTAAATTAGCTTGCCATTTACTTCTTCATCTTCCAGATGTAAACACACGATATCTCCAGGCTCACACTACAGAGTCTATGAAATGTACTTACATATTGCAAAGTGGTGCATCGTATCCCTTTTTGATCTGTTCCAACTTGTAATCATACCCTATCTTGAACAGTGTTTTCTGAATATAATTCATCTCTTGGACTTTGCTCATAACATTCTTATAAATTCTGTCCATGATTTCCTAAAAGGCAAGCAAAATATTCAATAATCTGAAAAGAATTACACCAACACGGAGATGGTCTTTAGGTGAAGATACCTTGTTTCTGACCTCTTAGGTCAAAGTTTTTAGTATAATGGATATATTTACTTTATTATATAATTAATTTCACTGACTTTACTTGTTCACGATTTCAAAAAGACTAGGGACACGTAGAGGGATTTTCTGGTTCTATACACTAAGTTTATCTAAAAATTTTAAAAAATGTCTACTAGAGTGTAAATAATTCATTCACCTCCCACATAAGTATCATTTTTAATTCTTTTTTTCAAATATATTCACTTATTTTCCAATAGCACCGAAAAACACCCAACTATGTTGAATCTAATTCTGATGTTTTTCTCACTACTACCTTGTGACTCTTACAGCATGGCAGAGAGATTTACAGAGTTTCTTAAGAGTTGTCTTACAGAATTTTCTAGAGTTCCTTAAAATTCTTATGTCCCTGTAATTTAGGCATTTCTACTCCCTTTCAGTAGAAGCTAAGATTACAAAAACGAACAGGATTCTTGCTCATGGCTCCTTGGAAAATTCAAGGAGGACTAGGTTCGAGATACAGTGACTCCCAAGGTAATACACAAAACAACAACAAAGAACCCCGAAACAAACCAGCAAAAAAGCCCAGACTATCACTAAATGGTGTTTTCTTGAAATGAGTAAGCACAAATTAATAAGAATTATTGCATAAAGCACATCTATTTATAAACACCTAGTTTTAAATAGTTAAAGTGGCAATTAGTGGAAATTCAGTTGTGCTACCATGAATAGTTTTATGAATGGCTCTTTCGATATCATAACAGAGCCATTCACAAATAAGGACAGCAAAAACATCTCTTGCCTTATGCTATGGGAAAGTAGTCAGAAAGAAAAAGACAAACACTATATGGTCTCACTTCTATGTGGACTCTAAACCAGCCAACCTCAGCAACCGAGAGTAGACTGGTGGCTGCCAGAAGCTAGCAGGTGGGGCAAATAGGGAGATGTTGGTCCAAGGATACAAACTTACAGGCAGAAGATGAGCAAGTCCTGGGGATGTAATGTACAGCACAGCACAGGGACTATAGTTAACAAGACTGTATTATATGCTCGAAAGTTGCTAAAAGAGTAGATCTTAAATGTTCTCATCACACACATACACATGGTAACTTTGTGAGACGATGGGTGCGTTAACATTATTATAGTAATCTTTTCACAATACATACATATGTCAAATCACTGTACACTGTATACCTTAATTGACACGATGGTATGTGTCAATTATATCCCAATAAAGCTCATGGGGGTGGAGGGAGGCTGCAACAGCATTCAAGGATGGCACAATGTTGTCCTGTCCATTTCCACAGATGGAATCATTGTGTTAACTGACATATTTGTCTAGATCTGTGATTGAGAAATTCCAAAAGTTCCCTACAGGACTTTAATATCCTGTAACTATCCCACTTAAGAAAGTGAATAGGATGTCAGGTGGAGGAAAAAAGCCTACAGGAGTGAGACAGATGTGACAGAACTACCTCCACTGCTCTTTCCAGTAGATAAGAGTCATGGGCACTGGAAGGCCTCTATGAGTAAGGAACACAAATGATAGTCGTAACAAATTGGCAGGATTTATTATTAGCACAATAAGTCACCCTTCACTTCAACCTAATGTTACATGATGTTCAACTGAGTCAGTGCTTACAAGAAGCAGTGATGTATTCTAAATTCTCAGCCTGTGAATACGTGACTGTACAATACTAAATGGATCTTTCATTCTGATCCAGGAAAGAAACAAACTCAGATAATAGAATCTATCGATTTTCAGTAAAAAAGATTTTTTTAAGGCCTATTTATACAGGAGGGGGAGGAGTTAAGGGAACCAATAAAGTTCAGTGAAACACCCATGGACCAGCAACATGAGAGTCTGTTTACTATCCTCAGGCCTAAAGAACTAAGAGGAGAGATGTATTATTGGAACCCGGTGAAGACTATAGCCACGGGCAAGATCTGGTTACAGCCAATGGGAAAGAGATTGTTCCATGGACGCTTGACAACTGCCCCAAATCGCAGCCCAACAGGGAAGGAGCAAAGGCAGTAAATATGCAGAACCCCTCCTCTCTCCCTGCCCTGTGATCTCTCCTGAGCGCCAGTAATTGGCTGAACCCAACAAAAGACAAGCAAGCCCTGGTGATTCATCCACAGAAGTTAGCCTTCCAAGGCACAAAGTAAAGAAGAATGGACCATGGGCAGTTAGAAGATACACAGCATATCCACAAACTCCTGCTTATCCTTCAGGCCTAAATTCAGACATTGCTTCCTACAGTCCTTGGTCTTTTCCCTTCCCTATGTTCTCTGATAGGGTTTACTAGGGACTCCTGTACTTTGAGTAATAAACCCAAAATATTTCCCAAAACACCAAACACAATCACAATCCTAAACAGACAGGCATAGTAGTTAAGAAAAGTCTGGTATCAGACTGGTAGAGTTCGGGCTCTGTGACTTCAGGAAAACTTTTTTTTTTCTTTATAAAACCAGAAAAATAGGATCCACCTAGGAGAGTCTTAGGAAGGATTAAGTGAGATAATCCATCTAAAGCCCTTAGGGACAGGTCCTGAAAACAGCAAGTACTGTAGTACCTATCATTAGCATCACTTTATTATGTTTTAATCAGAAGCTTCTTTCAGTTTCCAAACTTGCCGAATTCTTCAGCACCTCTAAATAAAAAGGCAAAGGCTACTCTGCCCTCTTTTAATTCTTTCGTTATTTAATAATTTTGTAATAAGAAGCTTAAAAAACAAAGTGGCTGAACACTTCATTATCTCATCTCCAATTTTCCATGTACAAAAATAATTCTGAGAGAGATACTGGGATGAGACTTAAAATCTGATCGCAATACAAGCAGTCACGGTATACAGTCCCGCTGGAGTTTCCAAGCCTAAAAGTGCTAGAACATATCTGATTATGCACATTTGAAACACTGTGTGAAATGTTTATCATTACAAGGCCAAAAACGCTGTAACATCTTATTTTGATGAAAGGCAGTATTTCACATAAGGATTTTAAACGTCTGGAACTAAGCTTTTTTCTTTGGAAAATCTCTCAAGTGCCAGTTTTCCTAGTCACGATTAGGGTCAGGAGGCTTGGATTTGAGGCTCAGTTCCATAACTTTGGATATGCTGCTTCAGTTCTCTGGGATGACCTACGCTTCCTCATTTGTTTGAAATTTGTGATTAGGGGCGCCTACATGGCTCAGTCAGTTAAGCATCCAACTTAGGCCCAGATCATGATCTTGCAGTCCATGAGTTCAAGCCCTGCATCAGGGTCCACGCTGTCAGTGTGGAGCCTGCTTGCGATTCTCTCTCTCCCCGCTCTGCCCTTCCTCCGCTCATGTGCGCATCGCGTGTGCACACTCTGTCTGTCTCTCTCAAAATAAACTTTTATCAACGTTTTATTTTTATTTTTGGGACAGAGAGAGACAGAGCATAAACGGGGGAGGGGCAGAGAGAGAGGGAGACACAGAATCAGAAACAGGCTCCAGGCTCTGAGCCATCAGCCCAGAGCCTGACGCGGGGCTCGAACTCCCGGACCGCGAGAACGTGACCTGGCTGAAGTCAGATGCTTAACCAACTGCGCCACCCAGGCGCCCCTCAAAATAAACTTTTAAAAAGTCCAAAATAAAAATAAAATACAATTTGTGATTAAACAAAAATGAGATCTAGAATATCTTCTACCCTTGAAATATTATGGCCACTTCTCACGCTAGGTAATCTGAACTAGGTCATGTTCATCACTAATTTTCCAGGATCAGCAACACTAACAGGCATACATGTCAGAAGTTTGCCAATGCTGATCTCAGATTTAAATGAACACACTTGCCACGATCTCAATTGAGTGAAGTTGTTTAAAACTGTATGCAAAACCCTGAGAGCATTACCTTTTAAAAAGTCCAAGTGCAAGCAATAAAGGACATTTATATTCTGTACTCACCGGAACGGCCGCCATGAGTGTCGGCTTCAGCACAGTACAGTCTCCTTTGCTTCCCTTTTTAATTTTGCTGGACTACACGAAAGAAAAAGCAAATAGGATCAGGAGAGCCAGCCTCAGCAAAAAAGTGTGATAATTCAAGTACTGACAGTGACAGAAATTTACACAATGGAATCTGATCTTCTATGGCCCCGTTGAGTTATTGGTTACAACTCTCATAACTTGCAAACGTCTAAAGTGGAAGTGGCTTTGGTGCTTTAGCCTGGAGATGATTTCTTCTAGTACATCTCGGCTTTCCTTAGAGGAGAAGCTCTGACTCATAATATAGGAGAGTGGGATATTTGGGTAAAGTGCGCATTCTTGTCTCTCACGTATCAAGCACAGCACAGATCATCCATTAAAAAAGAGAGAGAGAATAGAAAACCTCAGCTAAGGTACAGTGAACACTAAAAGAAAATGGAAAATATTTTAACTTTCTTTGATTAGCCAAATGGCAAAGCCACCTCTTGAAGTCACTGCCGTTGATGAACATGATGGAAAAACACTAATTTGGTAACATTGTGGTTGACAGAATAATGAAGACCCTGCCAGTGACCATGTGGGGATATGCACATATATATCTAAGTATGTATATATTTCTCCTTTCTTTCGTTTTCTTTCATTGCTTACACACATAAATACTATTTGGGATTTCAAATATCAGAGCAACAGGTAGAAAAACTGATAAAGCAGCCCACTGAAAAAGGGAGATGAAAGGAAGAAAGAACCAGCTATAATGCAGTTCATTAGTCTGTAAGTTTAGATGTATGATGTGTCTATTAGTCACGCTGACACAGGCGGGAAGTAAACCAGCTCTTAAGGGACAGTGTGATATGCCAGGACCACCGGCTTCGTCATAGAGAACTTTCTGCCAATAGAACCAAATTGCTTTTATCCTACTTTTCTTTAAGATGGATAAAGGAAATAAAATAACTGCTTGTTGTTTCATGTATGTGCGAGTGTGTGCACATTTGCAAGTGGAAACCGACGCCCACACGTGCATATGACACATGGGAGGGCAGCTCTGTAGAGAGAAAGATGGGCTCTCTCTCATGTCCTGCAAGTCCAAGCTGCCCTCCATGTAGTGCTGACCAGTTGTCGCTTTAAAGAGCTGTTCCAGGGTAGCACTAGCCACAAGGAGCCCTTCTTCACTTTCTTTATGACTCTGTGTAATGGTATCAGTTCTCTTCTTATGATCGCAATAATCTCAGGACAGCATCACGCTTCTCTGTTGGCTTCAAATGTGGCACTTCTAATGTCCCACCTGTTTCTGATTTCCTATCTGAGGGAGATTCCTGGGTTTTTGATTCCTAGAAATATTGAGACTTTTTATTAGGAAGTTCGTGAAAAAGATAGGTGGGGCATTCACTCCAACTGCCCCCCCCTTCCCTACACTGAGGCTATTATTTCCAGAAAGGCAGTGAAAGCTAGGGTTGCTAGTCCCTCACTTCTGAACTTCCCTAAGGTGGGGGGGGGAATCATACTCAAAGTTTACTGAAAGGTGTTTCACATTTTGAAACATTTCTAAATACAAGAAAAGCCCACTACAGTGCATCAAAAACATAATCGTTGTGGATTTTTTTTTCTTTTAACATTACAGAGTTTTCTAAAAATTTTTTTTTACAGTTCAAGCCCCAGTCTTATTCATAGATCAATTTTAACTTGACTACATCAAGTCTCGTTTATTACTTTACTTGATCACTTCTTTTCTCCATTACTGTTCTAGCAGATTTTAAATGTGAACTTTCAGCTGAGTAGTTCATACGGCAGCTCTCCATCTTACAAAGAGGTTGTGTTCCCTAAAGTACCAAGTAGGTAGTTGTCTAGAACACAGAACATTTTTCTCATGATAAAGCCGCTTCAAGAGGTGGTTGGATTATCCTGGGAAGTTGCAGGGAGGTGGTCATCATTCAGAAAGGACACAAGGACGTTATGGAGTTCCAGGAATGTTCTTTTTTATCTTGATCTAGATATGGATGGTTACAGGGGTCTATGTGTGTATATTAAATGCAATCAAGCAGTGTACTTAAGATTCATGTCCTTTAAGTTATACATCCAAAAACAATTTTTTTTAAAAGATGGCTGGAATCTCAAATCCAAAGACATCCATTTAACTTTTCTGCCTTAATATCACACAACCTACCTAACCTCTCCCTAAAACCAAGTCATTCCTATCTATACTCAGAAACTCTTTTTTGCCTCAACCTCTGGTTGACATTTTTCTATAGCAACAGGTCCAAAGAAGAAATTAAACAACTGTGGACAGTAGGTATTAGCTGTGTAATTTCAAATGCACGTAAAATCCGTGAGTTAGCTCTAGCCATTGTTGGGCTTCCTACTGTGAACAAAGGAGAAGGGAGAACCCAGTTGGACTCCAGGCGCAAAGCTGAGGGCTGCCTTTGGATATGCAATAGAACTTTCCATGATGATGGAAAGGTCTGGTACCTGTGCTGTCCAAAGTGGTACCCCTAGTGACACTTAGCTGCTGAGAACTTGAAATGTGGCTGGAGGGGAGGGGGACAAAACATAAGAGACTCTTAAATACAGAGAACAAACTGAGGGTTGCTGGAGGGGTTGTGGGTGGGGAGATGGGCTAAATGGGTAAGGGGCATTAAGGACAATACTCATTGGGATGAGCCTTGGTTGTTATACATAGGGGATGAATCACTGGAATCTACTCCTGAAATCATTATTGCACTATATGCTAACTAACTTGGATGTAAATTTAAAAATTAAAAAAAAAATTAGAAAACAAAAAGAAATGTGGCTGGAGCAACTGAGAAATGAGATTTTTCTCATATCATTGGAATTATCTCTACTTCAGCGTGCTGTTGTGGACAGCACAGTGTTAGAGAAAACTGAGAGCAAAACTGGGCCACGATCCTACCACCACATCTCCTCCCAGAAAACCTATCCCTGTTTATGGGTAATGTATCCAAAAGACTCGGTGCATTTATCTTCTCTACCCAAGCTATCCAGAGTCAAAATCTCACAAAACAAAATGAAAGTAACTGTAAGCTTCAAAATCATGTAAGAAGATGTAGATGAAGCAACACTAACAAATCCATAACTCTTTTTTTACAGCTACATATTTGCCCACAGGGGCTATTTTTGAAGTCGAGGAGAAAGCTGCCAGTGAACTGAAGTGTCTCACATTCGCAGTAATACGTTCTCATCCAAACAGCGCAACTTAATAGGATGGCGCGGAAAGAGTAAAAGGCTTGTCACCTGGTCAGAGAGTGTAAGTGGAGAAGAATAGCCAATCCTACAGCCGTAGGTAAAGCAGGATATCTCTGCTGTCAGTTCTAGCACATGAGCCAAAGGCAAGTAGCCAATGTAAGTGTCCTTTGGTCTAAAATGAAATAAGAGAAACATGTCAGCCGTCAGGAATAAGGCATGATTAAGTAGAAACATCAATAGCCTTCTCATTTCTACACAGATGGAGTTTAGACGATGTCGAACAGGAGCTCTCATCGCAAAGAAGAACATGGAATGAGTCTCTCTTACCCCAGCCCAGGAATCCTCTCACATTGGCCTGTCATTCCAGCTATCAAATTGCTATGGTGCATCATCACTCCCTTGGGCCGGCCGGTAGAACCACTGGTATACATGACAATAGCCATGTCCGAAGGAGTTGGTCTGTTTGGAGGCACGCTCGCTAAAAGAATGAAAAAGCACTGCGTTTTCTTCAGTTTAGAAGTTCAATTGCTTACACAAAGATTAAGAGTTTTTAGGTATTTTTTGCATAATGATGAACCATGTAAAACAAATGCTCTCTACTGACAACCGACACAAAAAAAATGGTGATCGAATTTCTGATTACCTGCAGTGAGAGTCTTGAACGCCACTGTGGCCCTTTTTCTGGGTGTTGAGCCCAATCCCGGTCTACCCCTGCCTGGCCGAGGTGCTGCACACACAGCAGTGCTGTGGAAAGCTAGCCAGGACTTTGGAGAATCAGGGAGATAGACTATCGTGTGCAAGCCCTTCAGGCCTCAGTTTGCTCACCTTTAAAATGAGATGGCTGGGCCTGATTATGGTTCTCAACCACTGGGGGGCATGAGAATTACCTGCAGAACTTAAACAAAATACAGTCTCTGTCTCTGGCCCCCACCTCTGAGCATTCCGGGTCTGGGATGGATCAAAGGCTCCACAGGTGACACTCATACACACCCCTGATTGAAAGCCACTGGACTTGGTATTTTTCTCACTTTTTATAAAAATAATTTCATTTAATAATAACTGAACCATGGACACTGAATTAGATAACCATTATACATTTAACAGATTATTTTAAGATTACGTTCCAAGCAGCACATATAATTCAAAGAACACCAAACCAAAATGATATTTTCTACTGTTTTTAGTGTTGCTTCTTGAAATCTGTATAGGAAATCAGTTTTTCAAAGTACTGAAAGTGTGCCTAGATAAAAATAACACCAAGAGGTCCTTTCTCTCTTCTCTCTCTCTGTGACTCACTCGCTCACTCACTCCTGTAGTTACAACCCATGTTATGTGTCTGGCTTCGGGACTCTTTTGGGTCTTCCAGATTTAGTGCTTATTGCCCTATCTGGATTGGACCATACTCTGATTCTGTCTAATCAAAATGAGACAGGAATTTTATGATACTGAGAGAGATCGTGTGGAGAGGTTTATAAACACTTCATTCCCTATCAATGGTAATATCTAAATAGTATCTAAATTTCACTTCTCCTAGCCCTCTGTCTGAACTTAGGAATATTATTGTTGTTGTTATCGTAATTTATTGTATTTTCGAAAGAGAGAGAGTGTGTTTCCATGAGTTGGGGTGAGGGGAAAAGGGAGAGAGACAGAACCTTAAGCAGGCTCCATGCTCAGCGTGGAGCCTGACACAGGGCTCGATCCCACGACCATGGGATCATGACCTGAGCCAAAATCAAGAGTCGATGTTCAAGTGACTGAGCCACCCAGGTGTCCCTGAAGGTACAAATGTTGCATCATCTTAAAGGTCCTGAGCTCCAGTGCTATCTTTGCTTTTCCTGAATGACTGGGGGAGGAAAATAGAGAGGTCTTCCTAACAGATTATATTCAGCCATCTTGAGCAGGGGTCGGCAGACTCCTTTTCAGAAAGGACCAGACGGTAAATATTTTAGGCTCTGAGGGCCATACAGCCTCTGCCAAAGGTACCCAGCCATAGACACTTGTTAAATAGTTGTCATGGTATTCTAGTCCAACTTTATTTACAGAAACAGACAGCAGGCTGTAATTTGCCAACCAATGCACTAGAGTCGTGTTTCTCAAACTATGTGTTGTGAGGACCTTGTCCCCTCTAATGATTTATGGATGGATGCTTTTGTAAAATACAATAAAAAGGGATTATTGGAAAAATGAAATGAACATAACACACAAACTTAAAATTTTTGCATTAGGGGTGCCTGGGGGGCTCAGTCCGTTGAGTGTCTGACTCTTCATTTCAGCTCAGGTCACGATCTAGCGTTTCGTTGAGTTCAAGGCCCACGTCGGGCTCTGCGCTGAGGGCGGAGCCTACTTGAATTCTTGCTCTCTCCCATCCTCTCTGCCCCTGACCCACATGCACACACTCTCTCTCACACACAAAGTAAACAAACATTCAATCATATATGGTCTTGATAAAAATTTTAAAACTTTTTTTTTAAATCCAAGAAGTGTACAGTTTCCACTTGCATTACTTTCTTTCCTGACCTACTGACAACAAACCTTAAACAGATGAATAAATTTGTTTTACCGGCTTTACTTACCGTTTTCTGGCTTGGATCCCAACTCTTCTACTGATTGCATGCTGTGAATCTCAAATCCTTCAGGGTATTCTGCTTTATTGATAGTCTTATTGTCCACATAAATTATATGTTTGACACAGTTGATATCTAACAGTGCAGTCTGTTGAACAGAAACAAGATCCAGCTATTAAATACGGGCCCACGGTAAACTCAGTTATTGGACATTTTCATGACCTGTCAGATAACACCATATTAATTAAGAGAAATGTTTTTATTTACCTTAAGTTTACTTTCCAGAAGTTCAACGCTAGTGATCAGGTAGGTGGCCTCGGATTCATTTAAGCCATGAACTACAGCTTCTTTGCCAAGCGTGGCATATAAAGTCACGACTACATAATAAAAAAAAATACAAATGTGAACTAATTAAACAGTTAGGAGCTACATTATTTAAGTCAGCCTTTTGTGATAGGAACATTCATGGATGCACACGTCTTATAATGTAATTTCATTTCACAGTCTCTGCCAATATCTTTCAACACTGCCTCAAACTTCGAGGTAGCCCCAACTTTTCCTTATAAATTCACAGGATTCTAACATCCTAAACCTGAAGAAACCCAGAAATACTGGAAGTGCCACAACTGTTCAAAAATTAGGCAATCATGATTCTCGAGGTGAGTAAGTTTCTGCCTGAACTGCTAATTCCGGTCAGAGCTAGCCTACCTAGGACTACCCTGTGACATGCAGGTTCACTGGCCATGGCACCAAACAGTGGGTAAGTCCTTGAGAATCTTCAGACTGAGGATCTCAAGTCTGAATCATGTTCTCACTCCTCCTAGGGAGTTTTTTAAGTGGGCCCAACGTCCACGCTGATTAGTGACCTCTAAGCCTTAACTGGGTGGCCAAGGAGATCTAGTCTTTAGGAGCTACCAGAGAAAGGAAACATGGGCTGAAACCAGGACCAGTTAGTATCAAAGGACATCTGCTAAACCTAGATCCGATTGGAAATTCAGCTCTAGGCTCGTAACCAAAACAGCAACGTGGGTAAGAAGAGCCACTTTTCACAAGGTATTGTTTATTGAAGTTGGGTGATGGGTACAAAGGGGATCATTTCATATTCATTTTTGTTTGCCTGAAATTCAAACTCCTGATTCCTACACTACACCTGTAGTGTTCTACCTCATTCAGTAAATAACTTAGTGCCTAGCACACGACAGGCACTATTCTGGACTTAGAATTTTTTTAAACCATTTCATGCACCATTGCAAAAACAAATGTTTGTGAAGCAGGAAGACACCCAACTTGAATTTCTGGCCAACATATCTAACGTGCTCATTTCACACGTAAAACAGAATGAGTCAAATGAGATGCCCTGGACATGAAGCAACAAATTAGAATTATCCTAAGCAATGGTATTTTTGTTTTTAATCATTATTTTGTGTGTCACTTCCTAAAAAACACCCCCAGGTCCCAAATATTTCAGGTACAATTCACTTCCAATTGAAAAGCAAAATCCTAAATTCTATCCATTCAGCTGCCAACTAATTCCCATGCTAGCTCTTAGAAATTAATAGGCATTATCAGATATCTTTTAAATACATTACATACTGCTTTATGGATACAATGGATGCAGAAAAATTGCTAAAGAACACCTACCTTGAAAACAATAAGGTTGCAGGACAATTTCACATGTTACTAAAACCCTTTCTGTCCCCCTTCAAAAACACAAGGCACTTACGAGGGAAGTTGTACTTAAAGCAGGTCTGTGCCGCAATCATCCATTCGGCCCTGGTCTCACAGAAAATGGCAATAGTGTTCTTTGGTTTTAGTCCCAATGCAGTGAGTCCACTACCAAAATTATTCACTCTGCGGTTCACTTCGAGATAGCTCATCCACTTATAAGTCCCAAGAATTAACTGTTAAGGAGAGACATTCTCTGAATATTAGTACATTCAAGCAAGCAATTAAAATACCATTCAAAGTGTAGCGCTCTAAAATTGCCTTTAAGTGAATATACAGAAGCCATGAGCACCTTCTGAGAATTTGTTATGCAGCATATTTAAATGGAATGGCAGCATATTTAACATGCATTTGATTTATGATAAAGTAAAAACATACCTTCCCCTTAAAACAAATTAAAAAGCACAGAAATGCTATACCTTCTTAAAAACCTTTCCATTTGGCTGCATTTCATTTTCTTCACTTAGGATCTCTCTGGTCCCAAGGCTGTCCTTCTTCCCAAACTTGGACACAGCATGATCAAATAACTTATCCAGAGTGTCTGCTCCAGGGATGTCTATGACAGCTAGCGAGTCGAAGTGCGTGACAGAGCGATATGGACTTCCAGGTTTGTCTGAAGTGGGCTTAGCTTTTATTCTCTTTGCCATAGCGTTTTTCTTCTTCGCATTGGTAAGAAAATACCATGGAATAAATATAAGGGCACTGTATATTGTTATTAACAAGTGGACAGGCAGCAAAATAATGGTGAGCACGTTTAGCCTAAGTTTCATAGTGGCAAGGCTTCTACAATGGTGTTTATTTCTTGTTATTCTTTGGCTGCAGAAAGCCTTATTTTGCTGAAGAAGGCAATAATGGAAGCAGCAGTAAGAGGAGTATAGCCAAGGCAGTTCAATTTTAATGATACAGATAAAAGTTAGTAATCTTTGGAAGCCGACAATAAAGTACACCTGTAGGTGAAGACAATGAACCAGGCAGAGAGCAGGAAAAAAAAAACAAAACAAAACAAAACAAAAGAGTATTAACAAGTTGATAGCAACATTGATTTAAATACTCAGGTCTTCAGTAGTTTATATAATTGATTTGATACAAGTTGAAATAACTGGTCTGAAAGACTGGCATTTTCCATTTTAATCATTATTACCATAAACTTCTCAATTTATTTATTTTTTTGGTTTTTAGGTATATTCTGCCCATCACTCTGCAAGTCACTTGAGTGACACTACTTTAATGCGTACACGAATGCACGGATGTGATATTTCAGCTTGGCTAAACTTCGGGAATGCCAATGATGAGGTTTCTCTTAAGTATGCCCATGTGAACCAGGTAGTTTTAAACAGGAATGGGTTTTGTAGCCCAAAGGGGAGAAATCCACCAGTTTAAGGCTTACTTCTCAATGCTCAACCCAGAGATACTATTCTGAGTTCCTCATCAAGGTAAACTTCTGCGGTAATGCTATGCGTTATCTCCAGTCTCCCAAAGTGGAACAATACAATCATAAAGTCATTTCCTAAGTGTCCATTTTGTGCTCAAAATTGCACCCGTGGCCTGGGAGGAGGAGGAGTCAGAAAGAGGTCCGAAGTAGTGTAAGTCCCAGCCTTCGCTCATTACCAGTTACCGCTAATGAGGCCATCTGCACACAAGACAGAGCCAGTGTTTTTCAAACGTTTTGGAAGGAGAAGGGCGGTGAAACAAACCACTCCTGCCAACGTCCCACACATGCAAGCAAAGTGGAACTGCTCTGGCTGAACCCAGGGGTGAAGTGTGCCGAGTCCCACCCCGGACTTCCTGGAAGTGTGCTCCCAAAGTGCCCACCGAAGCATTTCCAGTGAAAAGCCTGCTGGAAACACCTAAGTGCTGTGGCATGCGGTACAAACAATGTGACAGACATTGTGAGGAAGTGCAAAACGGCCAGCAGTAACTAAGGGGAGCTCTGTGAAGAGTAGACTTTTAAAGTGGACCTGATGTTGGGGATCTGGAAAATTAAGGAGAAAGAATGGAGAGCATTCCGGGCAGGGAAACCACATGGCAAGATGCAGAGGTAGGAGTGAAAGAGCTTTGGGAGAGTGGGAGTGCCCATAAGGACACTAGACTGACTGGGGCATAGAGCGAGTACATGTTGGCTAAATAGGCTATGGGTAGTGCAGGATCTGACAAATCAGACCAAGTAATTTTGACCTGATTGAATCAGACAGAAAACTGGGGGCCTCTGCAGGTCAGAAAGAGAGTGCCAATTGGAAAGGAATGGCAGAACCGGCCTCAGGGATGATTATAACTCACAGGGAGCTTGCCTTCAGCTGAGAAAGCTATTTTGGTGAGTGGAAGAGTATTTCAGCGATAAAAATTAAAATAATAGTTCACTTTGGGACACCTGGGTGGCTCAGTCAGTTAAGCATCTGACTTTGGCTCAGGTCACGTTCTCACAGCTTGTGGGTTTGAGCCCGTGTCGGGCTCTGTGCTGATAGCTAAGAGCCTGGAGCCTGATTCAGATTCTGTGTCTACCTCTCTCTCTGCCCCTCCCTCGCTCATGCTCTTTCTATCTCTGTCAAAAATAAATAAAAATTAAAAAATTTTTAAATAATAGTTCACTTTGAGGAGACAAATTGAATGAAGCCCGTCCTTCTGCAACTCTGGTGGAACCTATTGAACCCAGGACAGTTGTTTGTTTTAACACCAATTACCATGAAGTGGTTACCTAAATCCTGCCTCCACTTTAGTTCATGCCCTGCAACCTAGTGGGGCAAGATGAGCAAGAAACTACAGGAACAAAGACCTGGGTTTCAGTCCCTATCTCTGTCACTAAGTGGCTGTGGAAGCTTGAGCCAAACAAGCTATCTGAGCTTAAAATCAAACTAGATCGGTAGCCCTTAACTTCTTAGAGGTGATGGACCCTTTTGAGAATCCAACTGCGACCTATAAACCCAAGATATGCAAAAGGGTCTATGTGATTTTAGGGGGTTTGTGAGTTCCCTAAAATCCATCCATAAACCCCAAAGGGTGACACCAACTCTGAACTAAGAACTGCTGGCTTCTATGATTTCCTGGGGTCCTTCCGACTTTAAATTTTGGGATTTACCCTACCTAGAAATTGCTGCCTTGGTCTGACAAGTCGGGTCATTCATCTCTTCAAAACTAGGTATGTCAAGTGTCCATCATGGTGTCTGGTCCTCAATATGCAAGATCGCCTCTAACAATCCTCCATCATTCATTTCACGATGACTCAAATCCACAATAATCTTTCCTTTTTCTAACTTCCTACATCACTTGAAATGTCTACCACTCATTTCAATCCTTGATTATAGTATGGATATTCTAAACATCTAAGCCCCTAAGTCCACAGCAAGGACCAGTAGTTCTCAACCTGATCAAACCCAACACCTTTTTCTTAGAACAAATATTCTGTAATACTCTCTTATCAATCTTGAAAGGTAGTCATAGATGATAACCCACTTACATACATAATTTTAAAAAATAATTCCTTACTGGTAATAGAAAGGAGTACCAAAAGGAAATTAATTCAAGACACAACAATACTTACTTCAATACATAAATTGTCAGAGACAGTACCAGAAGTCCCCCCAAAAAAGTCTCTGAATTGATATTATGCCCTAATGAGTACCACCTGACCTTCAATTGAGACATTGTCAGACTTGGGGCTGAAGATATATGGACAGCTTTTGAAGGGTTTATAATCTAATTGTATTAGTTGCATTATACATTTTTATTAATCTTTTACACATATTTGCCTTAAGGCTCAGAAGTAGGGCAATGTCTTTTGCTTAATCCTCGTAATACAGAGACACATTGGTGTAAACACACACACACAACACAACACATACACAGCAGACAAGCCTCAAAGAACATTCAGGTGAGGAGAGCTCTGAGACATCAGTTAGTTCAGGTGTTTTCAAATTCTTTCTGGTGGTGATGAGGGGGGCCTGGGTCATCCACTGGAATAAAATCTTATATGAACATGAAAATAAAAAGGTAGATAGATAGATAGATAGATAGATAGATAGATAGATAGATAGATAGATAGATAGATAGATAGATAAAAGGAAAACGCAGAGCTGCTTTGGGAGGGGAGGACTGACAGCCCCTGACAGGACTCCTTGGAACCCCCGGTTCAGCTGAATGTTTGAACCACTGGCGTTTTCAGTGAATGAGTGACAGCTGAGGCCCGTCCCCCGGTCAGTTGCTCATTTAAGCCAGCCTCTGCCCAGCGTCGCCTGTCATCTGAAAATCTTTCCTTGCCAAAGGTTTTCCAGGGTTACATTCAGGTCTATTGATAAATTGATTTCAAGAAAAGAAGAAAACACCTACTCTGTGTAAGTTTTGAGCCCTTAGTACAAAGATGAGTAAAGCACACATACCTCAATCATTTACATGCATTACATATGTGTTCATATGTATGGTAGGGGGCAGGGAGATCAGTTCACAAATACATAGAAAATGTAGAATGTAATATATCCCATAAGAGGGGTTCCTGGCTGGCTCAGTTGGAAGAGCATACAACTCTTGGTCTTGGGGTCATGAATTCAAGCCCCACGTTGGGTGTAGAGATTACTAAAAAAAAAAACAAATGCTAATAAACTTTTAAAAATGTGTGTATGTGTGTGTGTGTGTGTGTGTGTGTGTGTGTGTGTACATACACCTCCATTAAGAACAAAAGGCTAAACATATTCAAAGGGGGGAACTGCATCAGTTTGGGGGGAAAAAGAGATGAAGGAGGAAGTAGAACCAGCTGGAAAGATTTCACAAAAACCATAGTAGTTGAGATAGGTAGGTTTTCAAAAGGAAAAGAAAAAAGAGTGAGGAATGAGGACACTCCTATCAGAGAGAACAAATGGATGAGCAAATGGACGGAAGCAGAACAGCGCAGGATGGAGGTAAGAACCGGCCAGTAGGGTAGCAGGTGCCTGATGCTTTCCATGTAAGATCCTGCTCCACTTTGGGGATCTAAGTCAATGAGAAAACTGCATTTTTTCAGAGCCAACTTCACTAGCATGTAGCTCTACTGTAAGAGTCACATGCGTATGATGATTTAGCAACTCAAGATTCACCCCCTGGCTATCACATTACGGGGATATGTCCTCTGCAGAAGAGAAAGGCTGAGTTCCTGGGTGGTAAATGGGTTAAACCGAGGTGGGAGATCTGGGTCTGACCTCGTATGTGCTATGAAGTGTGACTCTGAGCAGGTAATATGAACTCTCACAAGCTCTGTATCTCTGTCTAAGCTCATGTATAAAACAGGAATACTGCTTGTGCTATTTGGTGGCATTGTTGGGAGAATCCTTCCTCATGGCCAGCTTACATTCCATGGGCAATAATAATCAGTCTCTGGAATACCCTCTCAAGTTTCCGGCCCCTCTCCCATTTTGTTGTACTTCTTCAGCTAAACTACACCCGGGCTGAATCCAATCCTCCACTGAAGTGTGTACCTGCACCCATGCAGCTGAATTTGGCTAGAAAAAAACCGGACGTGCTGAGCATCCCCCCTTCACCCCTATTTGAGAAGGACCTGGTGGTGCTGCTCCACTGACTCTTCCCTCACCCACCCCGTTAATTTTCCCTGCTTGACTGAATCGTTCCCATAAGCATCGTAACAGGCTATTACCTCTGTCACTTTAAAAACCATTCCCTCTCTCAGAAGCTCTTCTCTGGCCCCAGCCCCCTTTCTTCTCTTCGGGACTCCTTGAGAGTTGCCTACACTCTTCATCTCCCAGTCCTTTCCCCCTATTTCCTCCGGAACCTACTACTCAGGCTTTTACAC